TTTACACTGTCTTTCACACAAGGAAAGCTCATCTACCACATACCAGGAACATCTTGCAGAATACACAGAAGGAAGTTGTATGAAACATAAGAGTAACATTCTAGCTAATCCAAAAGGCTCGCTAACCCTCTATGCAAAGAAATGCAACTCATAACCTGTAGCATAAGAAACACATCATTAGAAAATCCTTTCTGAACAATCTGAACATGTTTTGGGCCGAGCTGCAATTGCCTACGTTCTTTTTTTTTTTTTTTTTGTCTAAGTCCAAAGAGACTTGCTGAACTATGATCAACCAAACTGAAAAGACCCAAACTTGAATAGCAAACAAAACCTGTATCAACACATTTACAACCAAAAGTTAACTACAACTCATTTGCTCTAACAATTCTCCAATCATACAATCAAAATTCATCAGCAGATCAAACATGCCATTCATACAGATCATCCCCACCATCAGTGTCGAGACTAAGCAACAGAACTAAGCAAAAGACTTGTATTTGGGAACATACTGTTATCCTTGTTTCTTTCACTGTGTTTAATACCTCTACCCAAGTTCCTCTTTGTAACACTGGCCTCTCACCTACTTGCTGTAACCAGTAACAGTTTATTTTACAAAAAAAAAGACCTGTCTGAAAGGAAGCTGCACAGGAAGGAAAATCACTTCCAATAATAAAAACAAGCAAAAAACTCTAACATCCTTGTCAGAAATCTAAGCTACTGAGATTTAAAATTAACACTTTATCTTTCTTTACCCAGTTCTTTTGGACTGAAGTCAATAAAACCACCATAACTCACAGAGGCTTGTCACTAATGACTAAGCTCTCCTATGAAGCTGGATTATAACCCCGTGTTCTTTCTTCACATTTCAGAAGGGTCACAAAATATCACTGCTTTAATGAAGGATTTAACTTTACTCATAAGAAGTGCAACCTCTTGCACTCTTATTTATTCCCGAGCTTCTATCAACAACTGCTTTCACTAAGAATAATCTACTCTACTCTGAAACTGAACATGAATTATTGAATTTGCCTAAGCTTGTAGTAGTCTGAGCTTGAAAAGTACCAAACAGATTGTATAAATATCAATATACTAATTAACTGATAAGAACTGTTTGTTGAAACACCACCTCACTCTTATTCCTAAATAGTAAGAAGCAGAAGCATTATTTTCAAGATGGGGTTCAAGACTGTAAGAAAGTTGATGTTGCTTTTTCTATACTGAATCAATAGAACAGCTCTGAATGTATAACAATGGCATAATTATGACTGTTCCCATCACGCATATTATAACACCACAAAGAGACTGCAGGCATATATTTAAAATTGGGTCATTGACTAGCTAGGAAGACAAGCACATGATAAAAAAAGTAACAAGTTTCTGCTAAATTTTTAAGAGAGCGGGAAGAAACCCAGAAATACGCAGCCTTACTTTCCAACAAGCACAAGTGAACCAAAACAGATGTCTAAAACCTGAGATGAAGGAACAGGCCATAAAAGTTTTCCCGAAAAGGAAATTGACAGAAGTAGTAACGAAGTAATAGCTGATTTCTACTTTGTTTATTTTCCTGAAATCTACACAGTTCTTCTGCCTGTTTACTAAAGAGGCAGAAGAGATTTTAAAGAAATTTCAGAAAGTAAAGAAGTCTCAGAGGTAGAAACAAGAACAAAAGCTGAGATACTGTAGGAGCAGCCATAATCAAGATTTGAAAAATGTCCTACGACCAGAGCATGGGAAATCAGAACAGAGAAATATCTCCTCAGGGTCTTGCAGCATCCCATAATGGTACAGCAAAGTGATTTTTCCAAAAACCTTGAAATTTCTGGCAAGAAAATATGAAGATTCCTACCTCAGTATTCAAGTACCTTGATCAACAAAACCCTGGAATGACCTAGTAATCATGTTCAACTGGATGCAAGCTCAAGCCACACAGAATCACAGAATATCCCAAGTTAGAAGACAAGGATCACTGAGCCAACTCCCACTCTTGGTAGCACAGGGGCTTGTAGAGGTGGCTTCTGCAAGAGGAGGCAAGAAGCTGCTTTGTGCCGAATACAGTCTGCTCCAGATGGCTCCAATGGGTACAGCACAGGCACAGCTGAGTCCATCCTAATCCTTGAGGTACATCTCTCTATCCCAAAGAAATATTCCATTTGAATCTTCTCTCCTGAATGTATAACAATGACATAATTATGATCTTCTCTCCTAGCCCCCAACCAATTCTGTAATGCACAACTGTCCAAATGACAGTTCTAGAAGACCTTTTATTCAGAAATATACAAACTTGCCATACAAGTGAACTGTATGGAAACATGGACATGGAGAGAAACAATTAAGTTCAAATTAGTATATTTAACAGCTGCCTTTGCCTACTTTCTTTTTAGTTAATAGTGTCCTGCTTTAATAGCTGATCTTTGTATTTTATACATACACACACACATACGTGCTGTGACACTACCTTTGAAACCATGTAACAACCCAACATTTCAAAAATCATGTAAAAGAGCAAAACAAAACATGGCACCAAGAAGGCTTTTCCTCTTTAAAGAGCTGTGGATACTAATTTGTCACCATAGCAAATACACAGTTAACCATACATAAATTGCATTAATTATGCTGTTTCAGCGAAAATCCAGCAGTTATTATGGATACTTTAAAAAAAATACTATCCACATTAAAAATCATTTACACAGCAAACCTTTTCACTCATATGAGGACATTGTGACCACCTGCTTCCCCCTCTTCAAGGGTCCATGAATACCATAGTTAGTGGAGTAACCATTTTTATGGCTGTAGGACATACTGTGCACAGAATATGCTTCAGCTAAAATGAGAAGGTAAATACCACAAAAAAATCAAAATATTTTCACTAGGGTACAATTATTATTTTTTAATATTACTAAAAAATTTACACAGGAATAGAGTCCCAAATTCTCTCTCATCAATTAGAAAAACAATGCAAAACTTCATGAAATTTAGAGACTGTAAGATATAGTATTTCTCTGTAAAACTAATATACTAACAAGCCTGAAATGAAGTAAACTAGAGCAATTCAGGTGAGACAATTATTTTATCCTTACTGGACTACCATTAATATTCTTCAGCTTCCAACACAACCAAACAAGTGAAGTATATAGGAATAGGGTAGACACCAATATCAAAGATTTCACTAGTCCAAGTAGTTTCATTGTAACAGCAATGTTTCAATAATTACTCATTAGTAGAAAATAGCATTTTGAAGATGCTACAAAAATCAGGAAATAAATATAACCATTACAGATATGGGTCCAGTTTTCAAATCCAGGTGACCCAAAATTGAATCATCAGAGAAACACATATCAATTTGGCCTAATTTAACATACTGACACTGAAAACTGCATTCCATGGAATAAATCTCCAACCCTAGTCAGTCATCTCTCTTAGGTGACAGCAGCAGAATTTCATCCAAGTCCTGTTGCTCTAAACGAGAAAGAAGCATGAGTTGCTCCGCAAGCCTATTGCATTGGTATATTGATTTTATGATTTCCTGGATAGAATCTCATACTTTATTTACCTATTGAAACTTTGAGAAGTCTATCCTACTGTAACGTAGACAGAATTTAAAGTTAGAAAACAGTGAATTCAAACAATTTCCTGTTCACTAAAACTGCTATAAAATCCATGCCACTTCTGCTGCCAAGAGCTTTGGTCAAAGGCAAGAAACACATTCCAAGGTTTTTGACTGTGGCTTGCAGATACGATGTTTAAGCGAGCAAAATCCGAATTATGTAAATTTAAGTTGCAGCCACAAATCCAATCTCAGCCATTCATCTATTTTTTGAAGTCCTATGGATATAACAGCTTCTCTTCATTTACAGACTCAAGTCATTCACATATTTCATGTTGTTTATGCACTTCTGTAACTTCCTTTGACTGGAAACTTTCTAAAAACCACAAGATCGCATGCTAATTGATGATGATAATTAAGGTTTGCTCAATTCCACAGTAAATTTAAATTCAAATTTATCAGAAAACATCTGAAAAAGAGTGCAAAATGGGAATTTATTAATTTATTAATGATTTATTGAACTTGACAAGAATTTACCTGACAGCTGCATGAGTTATTTCAGTGTCATTGTCTATGAAGAAAATCTTTTCATATAAAATTATTTGTTGATTACTATTAACATAAAAGGTTCTCTATCTCCTGAATGCTCTACAATACCACTGAAAAAGTTAATATTTATGGTAGATTTATCAGGGCAGCATTACAAAACAGTGAGATGGAAACCAAAGGGTAAAACAAGGAGTTAACTACATGATTCTTACTTCACTTTCAACTCAATAGTTTCACATTGCAGGTCAAAATACAACAATCAGTTACCATTTAAGATAAAAAGGCTAGTTCTAATTAAAACAAATTGCTAAAGTATTTACATTATAAGCCATAGAGCTTATACTCAACATTTCTAGGTGAAAACTGCATCCATTTTGTCCATGCTGTAAGTTGCAAAAGTTTGTGAGATTTTCTGAATGTTTTTGCAGTACATAAACCTTTAAAGAAAAAAGTTAAAAGGGCAAATATACACGATTTACTAGCAAACAGTATTAAACTAACTGCAAAAAGTGCGCAAGATGCTATTTTGCACGTTTTTGCATTGTTTTCTGCATTTATTTACCAGTGTAAGGTGTCAATTTATTCTAAAAAAAAATAACAACAGACTACATAAAGTGTACAGTTTGGGGCCATCTCACAGTAGTGGGATACATTTTTTTTAATACATCACTTAAATGCAATACTAATATAGCACACTGGTATCACTTCAGTAAAATAAACTTTATTACTAGACATGCAAAACATCTGGGGCTTTACAACAGTTGTACATGTCTAGCTGTCTTTTAATCAGGTGTCTGCTGTTTTGATTTTTCTTTCTGATATTAGTATCTATGTTTACCAATCTAAGTTAGTCAGCTAAACGCACAACAGTCAACAACAACAACAAAAAACCAACCACCTCACTTACTCTATTTGCGCACCGTGAGCCACAAGGGCACTTATGGAATCCACACTACCAGACCGTGCTGCTTTATGAATAGGAGTTTCACCAACATAATCCTGCAAAGACAAACTACATTTTGTCAAGCATAATAATCTTTCTAAAAATGACAGTCTTATTCTTACATTATTTGTTTTAATTAAGAAAGCAGATATAATAAAAGCAGCATTTATTAGCTAGCAAATATATCAGGTACTTTATGACATGTTTTTTGCAGTAGGCTCTTACATACTTTAGGTATTTACCAAGAAACATTATAAAGGCATGAATCTCACATGATGAACCTTTATCCAGGAACTAGATAATCGAAGTCATATGCAGCAAAATTTGTTAAAAAAGATCAACACATGATACTGTAACAAGTTACTCTAACATTTATCTCTCAGCATTTTAATTCCCCAGTACCCTGCACTTTGCAAGCCGTCTTGACTTCAGAGGCAAGACGGCAAAGTCTGTGGGACTGCTATTACTTTGAGATCCTGCTATCACTCTTACTCGGTACTGTATGGCACAGTAAATACTCACCAAGTGAGAGCTATCTATGTGTACCTCTCAGAGCTCACAGGACAGGTCAGATCTCCCCTAAGATACGCACATTTGACTTACATGTTCTATATACCACTGCTTTCCGTGTAACCTTTGCTCGTTTAAATTCCATTAGCGCTAATTAATAAGTTCAATCACTTCAACTTTTTATATTAAATGCAAACATAATAGGAATAGAGTATTCTTTTCAGGTCCTCTACCCAGCTTCACAGGTAAGAGGGAAAAATCTATACAATTTTATATATGCAATTGGTAAGCAGCAGGTGAATTCCATGTATCACGACCTACAGGATGCAGATGAAATTCAGTACTTGCAATTAAATTAATAATTTATTATTAACTTAATAATTTTACTTAATGTTAGTAGTAACTAAGTAGTAGGAAACAGAAGAATGTGGAATGAAATGTGGCTTTGAGGTAGCAAGTAAACATTCAGTTACTGTTTTGTTACACTTTATCAGTCCTCAACATTTTCACTGCATAGCAAGCTTTTTGTTCTTCTTTCTTCTTCTCACTATTCTTCTTTTACTGAAATATCAACACCAGCTTTACTAAGTCTGCAGTCTATAAACAAAATGGTGGCCCACACTTAGCCCTGCATTATTTGGCCACACTGCCAGCTCTGAGACAGGAGTATATTCAAAATAGGATCACCCCACTGTCCTGACTTAAGTAGTAAGCATTGGAAACTTTCTGCCAAGCTTCTGAGAAATTCAGTCACATTTTCTAGACCATGTAAATGTAACTTGGAATGAAGGAAGGAATTTTGGATTATGTTCCATATATTCAATTTGCTAACTATGAATTTTATTTATAGTTTTTTTTTCTTTTTAACACATTACAAATTCATGGAAGATCAACAAGTTTATCACTGTTTAAGACACATATTCAGCCCCAGCAAGGAACCAGAAGAAGTTCACCTTCTTATTAAATTAAGGATAATCGCTGAGGTTGGCAAAGAGAAAAGAACAGAAAACTTCTTGTAGTCCTTAGGTATTAGGAAAGTGATAAATTCCTTCTTCCAAAACAGCTGTATCTCATGAATAGAAGACAGCTTAAGATGGTGAGGCACAGATACAGGCTGCCCAAGAAACTCAGGATGCTCCATCCCTAGAGGTATTCAAGGCCAGGTTGGATGGGGCCCTGGGCAGCCTGACCTGGTGGGTGACAACACCACTCACAGCATATTGGTTGGAACTAGATGATCCTTAAGACCACTTGCAAGCTTTGTGCTTTCTAACTAACTTCATATCATTCTTTTATTTATAGCTTTTCTAGAAGTTACAGAAGACTGATGGAAGACAATTTTATTAACTATATGGAAACTCATCTGGCACTAATGCATCCAGAAAGATTTTTTTTAATAGTGGAATAAAATTTCCCATCACAGCAACTGACATCAATTGCATCACTTTGTTATTGTTTCCATTCCCCCATTTCTCTTAATGAGATTTAAAAGAAAATAGTTTCTTTTCTTACACTTCTTTTTTGTTGTTCAGCATTAGTATTTATAGTCTCACCTCTAATTTTAAAGATGCTCATCAATAGAAAGTTCAGTTTAGGACAAGTCAGCTCACCTTGCCAATGCATATGATGAAGGTGACAAAAACCTCTACTTGTTCAACAAATCTAATACTCTGCTCATGGTAAGAGCTAAACCAAATTATGAAGTACTGCTGCTGGGAAGTGTTAGAAGGATGAGAAAGGACCTTTGCAAAATGCTCCTTACTACAATATTATGAGAATAAGCTATGTTTATTAGTTGCTCTAAACTTGTCACCAATAACCAGAAAAACATTAGTATCTCAGAACGTATGTCTTGAGGAGGACTTCTTTCAATCACTAGCCCAGAAAAGCACACACTTCCTTGAAGCTAAGGAATTGAGAAAATAATTTGAGAACAGAATGCATGTATTTAGATCCTAGTAGCTTTTTTTTCTTTTTTTTTCTTTTTTACCTCACTTTCTATATTCACTAACATTAGTTATCATCTTCTGAAGTTCTCCTGTGGAAACAACTATTTGCTCTCCTTTTTATCTAAAATAGTTTCCTAGCTTTGTAAAGGAATTCTCTTTGGGTTATGAGCTATATTGAAAGGAAAAGAAAAAAAGGTTCCCACTACAAAACAGCTGCAAAGTTTGTGTATTTTTTTCCAACAGATCAAAAAAAAAAGAGGAAGAAGTACTCTACAAAATTGAAAACAACTCTGTTAATTGAAAAATTGGAGTGGATGGCACTAAACAGAAAATGCAGTCAGAGGTTTTTCCAAGAACACTGTCTAGATTAAATTTCGGGGTCCCCATTTACTCTTAAGTAGCACTGCACCAAACTGACCAGATTTCTCTCATAATCCAGACATCACATAGCAAATAGATGTACAGGAAAAAATGTTTTCTAGTGTTAATACAGCATTCAAGATAATACAAATTTGTTTGCTTCTGTGAAGATGATATTTTTGTGTACAGTGCTTCTGAACAGATGGAAGTGTCACAAGGCACCATAAACACACTTCCACACACTTTCCACAACTCACTGTCACACCACATCCTCCTCCATCCCCTTGGAGGAGTGCTACTTTTATTTTGCAAAGACAAAGCTTTTCTTTATTCAGCTTGGAGACATACTAGATTACATTTGATGTTTTTCATTTTACTGACTAGCTATATAGGTTAATTCCTTACTTTGCATTTATAAAAGTGTCTGAGGAAACTTTTGCTTCTGTTGATTATTTTTTCTTCAGTGAATTCATCTCAGCTTAGTTAATCAGTTTGCCTTTTGTTACAATGTGCTTAGCCTCAGAAGACACTTCCTTTATAAATCTCCCCTCAGACTCTGAGTTTCTCCAGACTTCTAAACGTTTTTCTTCATCAGTTCATTTTATAACACTTCCTCCCCTTCAATTTCCCCCAGTTCTGTCTTTTTAGAATATAAATTTGTTGGTGTTACAACATTCCAGTTGAACTTGGAGTAGGAAGTGGAAAATCTGCACCTGAATGATTCAGTTAATTTCACCTCTCATACATTCACTTGCCTTCCTTCTAAAAGTTACTTACCTTCTTTTTTTCTCTTAAAGTACTCCCATGCACACTTACACTGAAGGCTTCTGAACTACACAAGCAGTTGTATAATGCTTCTGATACACATTTAAGACATAGAAGCACTATTTTACCTGTCAAGAAAACCAATATTTACCTTATTTAACCCTTATAACCCTATATAACCCTTATTTAACTGATTCAATTTCAAAAGCCTGTAACTGACCACATTCCCAAGATGTGGTCAGATTTCCTAGACCTAGAAATCTAACCTGTCTGAAGCCAGAAAGCAAAAGCTGGGAAGATGGAACTTCTCCCACATTCTTCAGTAAGATTTGTTTTGAATTCATGATTGTTTTACCTTCTGGATTTTCAGTACAGATGAGAAATTTTATTTTTTTTTAAATCTGGATTTAATCCAGCAGGCATAGATGGTTAACAAAGCTATTAAAACACATCAGAAATGACTTTTTTTCCTCCTCACCAAGATATTAGTATGTTTACAGTGTTGCCAGTATAGGTGTCTATATTTCCTATATCTGCCTGCCCTCACTACCAAGTTATGGTAACTGGTAGGACGTGAAGTTAACATCACCTGTAGGGATGGTGTATTTCTTAGCCCTTCCCCTTAAGGCAGGCCACATGACATTCTTCTGTTTACTTTTGCCAATTATGGAAGGTAACACAGAAGAAATATTTGATATACCAAAGTGAGAGGAAAAATATACTTGAATGAAATAAGAGGCTTTCATCAGAAAGAACTTATGAATATCTGCTGCATCATCTTGCACAACAGCTCAGAATGAGTCTGTATTCTGACGTGGATAAAAACAAAAAAAAAAAATCAGGGAAAGTAGCAGCATAATTGCTTTGCACTGTTAGAGTGAACTAAAGCAGGCGGGAAGCTAAATGCAAGTTTTGACTCACAATATTAAGAACTATTAGTAGGCACTGCTCATTCAATAGAAAAAGAAATAACTTTCTGTTGTGTCCAATGGCAGGCAGGAACAGGCAGGATCACTGCTTTGCTCTTTGGATTTTCTGACCCTTAGGGGGCAAGGGACAGCAGGGAAAAACTGCCCACCAATTAGGGAGAGGGGGAAAAAAAAGATAGATGATTCTAGCCAGCATGTACAGTTAAAAAAAGAGGGCTGGGCATCATGGGATATACTCACAGAAATTACTTTGGAGAGCAAGGTAGAGTTGGGACAAGCAGATTTCAGCATTTATCCTTCATTGCTGCCCAGGACCTTTCTCAGGCAACTGCCACCAGCATTAAGATAAGCATTTTAATGTTTTTCTAAACTTCATGGCAGGCAGCATGAGCTACAATACTTCAGGGTAGATAAAAGGAAAACATGCACGCAAGTTCTACTGAGTACCAGAGGTTTACATTAGGACTGAGAGACTCGAGTGGATTCCTTTTCAGAAGCTATCCTTTTTCCAGACGTGATTGGTTAGTCTGTAGCCAGTGACCAGGAGTCAGTTTGGAAGGAATGTTTTACTAGTTTAAATATCAAGTATTCCCAGATCTTTCTCAGCATGTGTTTTGTATCCAGTGTCCATGGAACACTTGTCCTCACACAAGCATTAGCCAGTGACTATGTCTGTTTGAAGTACAGCATCAGTCAGCGAGCTGGAAGGAATAAACAGAATACACATCAGGAAATAGTGCTCCAAAAGCTCAAGTGTGAGTGGAAGCCCCATATGATCACCTCAAAGAGCTTGCAAGTAAGTAAAATCATATATTAAGCAGTGCAAATCAAACAAGAATAGCAGGTTTTTGACTGCAATTCTATAAACACCTTGAAGGAACTGTGGAGAGCAAAGCATGCACTATGCTTTACACACTCACGTGTGAAACATCACAAGTATTCATGGGTTGCTTTTGCTGTAGGTATCACAGAAGTACACTGTCTAGCTTTGAGTGCTCATGCATGTGAAACCAGTGTGACTGAACAGATGCATCTTAATAAACAGCTATTTTTGTTTCTACTATCATTCTAACTACTGAGACACCCTCCATCATCAAACCGAACCTGAAATTTCTTCCTATTGTTCAATTAATATTTTGTGGAAGCAAAAAAGGAGTTTTTACAGAAGTGTAACTTGATCCCACTATTATCAACAACATACACAGCTTCCCACAATATCAACTCTCAAGTACTGTTCATACTGGTATCCTCTACCTGTAAACACCTAAATTTGCTTTTCAAAGTCTGTAGGATACTATCAGCACTATTGTATTTGAAAAAATCAGAATCACATTATTCTCCTCTATTGTTTAGATTTCCTTTGTAACAGGCTACCAGTTTTTAAAGACTCCTGAGTCACTGGCTAGTCACCAGAACTAGTCTCCTCTAAGGTGGGACAAATTACCAGTCTATTTTTAAACTGCACATCATACTGTCTTCTGCTTCCCTTACAGTCATCTGTGCACTGCCCTCAGTCCACAGATAGCTCTCTGCACCTCACTCTCCTTGAGAGCTAGCTGCTATTTTCCTCTTGCCTTTTTTTTTTTTTTTTTTTTTTTTTTAAATAACCTCACCCTGTAGATGTTCCAGGAGAACATCTAGAAGATTTTGTTCTAGAACAGTGGTTCTTCAGCTCCATTTCAGCCTTACTGGTCAGTTCTTCTCTTTATCCACAGTTGGAAACTTTCATTCTTCTCATTCATTCTCATTCATTCTTTTCTTCTCATTTAGAAGATATCTGTACATCTTTATTCTGTGCATGCCATGTCTCCTCTCTAATCACAGTTTCTTTACATTCTTACCTGGACTCCAGATGCATTTCTAGTTCTTGTATTTTCTCTTCTGAAGATTCTACCACTATGCAGCAATAACTTATGCAATAAGTTACTTTTGTCAGGTATCAAGGAGAAGATGCCATCTATAGCCTCTGCATCCCGTCACCTTCATTGTTTCTACAATTCTCCTGGTGTCTCACAGCTGTTCTCAATGCACCAGCCTTCTTTTCTGAAAACTCAACACAAACTTCCCCATTTCTTATTTTTGCATAACTTAAAAAAAAAAAAAAAAAACAACTCCAGAAATGCAAAGTTCAAGTTCCCCAGCAATCTTAGCTTAACTCTCAGAATAATTGCTCTCATGTAAGATCACAAATACTTTTGAGTATTGCTGTAAGGGAACACATTATGTATGCACAGCATACATAATAAATCCATTCAATACTAGGAACGTTTTCTCCAAAAGTATAATATTTTTAAGCACTTGATTCTGTTACCATACCAGAGCATGAAAGTCCTTTACATGAACTTTATTATATTAATGCACTCTGCTATTAAATAAATTAATATCTATAACCATGGTAACAGTAATGGAAAATTATCAAATAAGAAAAACCATACAAGTATTCACTATTTGTTAGTAAAGTGCATGTTTCTGATCTACCTGCAGGAAGTTATTGGAAGAGTTTTAGACATAATTTAAAAGATGGTATCAGTATGAAACCAAACACATCTTAAAGTCAGTCATGTTTTTGGAAGATGTCACTAGTTAGATATCAGACTAGTCATCAAGGACCACAGTGGTCTCACGGCTCCATAGGCAATGATAAATTAACTAGCTAATTTTCCAATTCTTATATATTAAGTAAGATGAATCTCACTAATCCTTTTTGTTTTTCCCCTCATAGGCATTACAGTATCAGAACATCAGGTAATGCTGCCAACACCAGAGCAGCATGACTCCATTTTGTTCAAGAAGGAGAAAGATGTTAGTTCCTAAAACAAATGTTCTCCAGAACTTTAGTGGTCTGCAACATTTATGAGCCCTTCTCTACTACAGTGACATCTTAACTGTCAGATTAAGGGCTTTGTCTTTTGGAGAGATGTTAAAAATAACTTATCTGTATGTGAACGTAAGGACCACACACATAGCAAGAAGGGACCAAGACACTCCTTACAGAATTGTACGCGGACATGAAACACACATTAAATCATACCTGTTTGTTTATGTTGGCCCCCACTTGGATCAACCAATTCAGGCATTGTGGATGTCCTCCAAAAGCAGCAATGTGGGCTGGTGTTTGAGCAAATCGTGTTGTACTGGCATTTACAGAGGCTCCGGCTCTGACTAACTGCATTAGGCACTCCAGCTTTAAAGACATGAAGGAAGAAAATCCAAAAGCTGTTACACAGATGTACCACAGTTGGCACCTGCCAAATACATAAATTAAGCCCAGAAAAACTCAACTTACTAGCAAAACCAAGTGGATGCAAAGCAAGGGAAGACAAGAATACTAGGATTTGCCCCTTTCCTCAGTCACACAGCATACCTGAAAAATACTTAATTCTCAACCCCAAAATTCAATTCCAGCATTTATTTTTTGGAGTAAGGGAGAGGGCCCAACTAATACCTCAGAGCTGACCATGAAAAATATTTGGTTCACTTCTGTTAGTGAAAAGTTTCTGACCTAGCAAAGCTGCAAATTTGCTATTAAACAGACATAGCTGACGTTTTGCAAAACAAAAGTGTTGTTAGAAGATACATAGACATTTTCAGAAGAGTTTAAATAAAAATGCAAGAAAGTTTTTACATTTCTTTAATGTTTTCCTGAAGTGAGACAAGCAGATAATTAGTTACAGCTAATACCATTAATACTATGCTAAAAACCTATGCATGCAATCCTTTATTCTCACAATTTTCTTGTTATTACAGGTGAAGAAACATTAAAAACAATACTGCATGTTTGTGGCAACACCAAAAAATAGAGCTCTCTTTGCTTTAAACAAAAAAATTAAAAAAATGCAGTGTTGTCAAGCTATATTCTGACTTCTATTTTCCACTGATTCTACCAGAAGTAATCCAACACCCAGCTACTATATTTAACTGTTTGCAACATAACATTTGTAGAAGCTACCCGAACTGCAGCCAGGATGACCTCAACTTTCACAAATAGCCTAAAAAAAGAGTTCCTTTCCTGTCAAATAGGAACATTGCCTTTCTGTAGACAGGAAAGTTCTGCTGCTACAATAAACAGTTTAGTCTAGGCTTCCTTTTGTTAGGGTTAAAAACAACCCTCCAAAACAACAAAACAAAGAAACATCACATTGACTGTGATCATTGGTTCACATACAATGAAAACCTCTTGGTCAGTGTTTTGCTGTTAAAGAAAATGTTTATTAGCCATAGAATAGCTACAAAAAAAACTGTTCATAAAGAAATGATAAAGAAGCATCCAATAGTCAAATGGCAGCTTGATTATGAACTATAAAAGTGTGAATACTACTATTCTAATGTGGGTTTTTTTTGCTGCCGTACAATGTCTTTTTTTTTAATCTGTAATTATGAGTTACATGTAATTAAAAACACCAATCCTGACAGTATTTTCTATAGATCTGCAGATGTACTGCAGACTTCAACTTTATTTTTCCCCCTATACAATTCAAAGAAACATACTAAGCTTACTCTTCACAAGCAAGATTCCTTTGGACGGTAATCACAGAATCATCGTAGAATGGTTTGGATTGGAAGGGACCTTTAAGATCACATAGTCCCAACCCTCTGCTATAGGCAGGGACACCTCCCATTAGACCAGGTTGCTCAAAGCCCCACCCAGCCTGCCCTTGAATGCTTCCAGGGAGGGGGCAATCCACAACCTCACTGGGCAATCTGTTCCAGTGTCTCACCACACTCACAGTAAAGAATCCCTTCTTAACATCTAGTCTAAACCTACCCTCTACCAGTTTAAAGCCATTTCCCCTCGTCCTGTCACTGCCTGCCCTTATAACAAGTCCCTCCCCAGCTTTCCTGTAGTCCCTTCAGGTTGTAGAAGGCTGCTATAAGGTCCCCCCAGAGCCTTCTCTTCTCCAGGCTGAAGAGCCCCAGCTTATGAGTTTAACAAAGTTTAACTTACCACAAACTAACTGGTCTATTACAGTTCTAACAGCTCCACCTCCAGAAATCTCAACATTACTGAAGAAAAAAATAACACTTTCCCCAAAACAAACAAGTACATTTGCTAGGGAAAAAAAGTTTCATCATATATTTTTTTTAAAGTGCTAAAATTGTGTATTTCTAATGCTAAATTACCCAAACAAATTTTATATGTTAACCTTAAGACTTAGAGTCTACAATCTAGAATCTCAATATTGCTTCAATCAACCTTTAATAATGACTAAGAACTGTAATGCTGTAATCATTAGTAAGCGATGCGCTAGAAAAAGCACCAGCTACCCCAAGAGGCTCCTCTGCTTCAAACAAAAATAAAATGCATGCAGTTTTTAAAACACCAGGCTTTTATTATAATTAATTTGAAAACAGTCAGAGAAACATTACAACTTTAGGAAATATTTCCTTCACAGAAACAGCTGAATCAAATTCCTTAATTACATAGACACTGTAGCACAGCAATTGAAAGGGGAAAAGCATTAAAACCAGTGTACCAGTGTCACCCCTCGCTGTTTAAATTTGCTTTCTTAAAAGCCTACATGATTAGTTATAATTAAACTTCATACTTAAACATTCTTTGTGCATAACTTCCACATATTTTTCCCTCTGACTCTTCCAAGTATAGGAGTGAAAATGCATTTGCAATATCATCTATCCGACGGTCATCCTCTCCCTCCCCCCAGCGCTTTTTTGGGGTTTTAACAAAGAGAATGTTTCATCCCATTAAAAGCTGAAGCAGGGTTCTTCTGCAGCACAGCAGTTAGAAGCTCCTACTTCCGACACTATTAAAAGAGCATGGTAGATTACTTCTGTGTAGAGGAAGAGGCAACATATGCAAACCAACCAATATCCCACTGGAATACTTTTGCTTTGGATCAGGACATATCAGTCTGTTTTTTTAAATTACATTTTAGAAGATATTTTCCACTGTACTGCTATACCAAAACTGGATGTAACAAAGAAGAAAGACGGACGTCAATATAAGCCATAATACTGGCAAAACGCCAAGGAAGCAATGTGTGGTTTTTATTTATCTGTACTACTTTTGTTCCAGAAGAAATAGAATGTACTTACTGTTTTGCTTCCTATAAAGTAAACAGTCAAATGGCAAAAATAGGAGGAAGAGAGCACAAGCAAGCAGATGTAACTGAAGAAAACAAAAAGGCACGTGCTGGTGGTTACAAAGAACAAAATAAAGGTAACTGTAAGATATAACAGATGTTCAACCCAGCAAGAAAATTTGAACATGCTGCTATCTAAATCTGTACTGCCTTCTGGAAGAAAAAAAACAGGCCATATTGTCATTAAAATTCCAGATATTGCAACTAGGAATGCTTAGCTATCATTTAGAAATGACTCCGCTGGTGTTTCACTTATTAATTGTAAGGTCCACAGTCATGTTCCAGAGTAATGCATTTAAAGTACATGATATTTTCTTGTTTTAGTCATAGGGTACTATGATTGATACTAGTATTAGATCAGTAATTCCCAATAAAAAGTTGTTATCTTCTGCACATTCACTTCTACCTTCACTCTTAAGTTAAATTTTTTGTTCCTTCCCTATTGCAGGGAACAACTATGTGTAGGGAAGTAGTTCTACCTAGTCTTATTCCAAAGTAATTTTGCATTGTCCTTTGGTGCACAGAGGGTTTTTTCACCAAGCCCAGACTAATGCTGTGTGTGCGTGCATGCATGTGTGCAGAAAGGGTTTTAGATGTTGCTCCGCAAGGACTTACTGCAGAGAGGAACTAAATCAGCTTTGTCATTTCAGCCTCTTACAGGAATGCACTTACAATCGATCGAGCCTGCTGGACTGTGCTGCTGAAGTGTCCTGTATCAGATGAACGGCCATGAAGTTCAGTTGCCATTTAATTTCTTACAGGCAAAGAAAAACCAAATGAAAACCCCACAAAATCCAACATAACAAGTAACTCTCAGAAGAGGGGAAAGAATGTCATTTAGTAACTCCTAATAAATGTTCCGAAAATAGAAGTTTTAAAGTCTCAGTGCTTTGAGATGCAGAGAAATATCCCATTTGCAATAACGATGATTCCAAATTTTAGAAAAAACATATAAATAAAATAAAAATAACATGACATGCATATGAATATCCACTAAAACTGTTACTGTTTCACTTTTGGCCATCATCTATTAGCTATTACTGAGAAGTAAAGTCAGTCAAGCATTGTACCTAATTACAGAAATGTAACTTCTCCAGAGCACTGAAACACAGGGGAACATCAGGAAATACTTCTCCCACTGTGAGGTGACTGGTAACTGGAATGGTGTGTAGTCTTCTTCCTCGGAGATCTTCAGAAACCACCTGGACACGATCAACCTGTTCTGGCAGCCCTGCTGCAGCCCAGGGTGTTGGACCAGAAGGACACACAAGTCCCTTCTCACCTCAGCCACCCTGCGGTTCCGTTGCACAGTCTGACTCAAAGAAACATTACTAAACAAGGCTACAAAGCATGCAGGTACCTTTCACGCACAGAGTCCACATAAACTGTCAGAAAGCTTTCTAAAAAGTTTCACTTCACTTGAAAAAAAAATGTTTTCTCCCTGCTTTAAATGCAAGTTTTAAAACAAATCTTTACTTTTTGATGAGGTACCATTTTGAACATGGCAAATAAGGTAGCTTGCATGCTGACTCGCTCCCTTTCACAGCTTTCTATGCAAGAATGCCTCCAATAGGGATAAGTGAATCGTCTGTACATTCTTTCCAGGTGGCTGGCAGAAAACTGAAGGCGCTTACGGAAAACAGAACTGAACTTACACTTGAAGGACATGAGCTCAACTACCATGCAAGTAAAGGATTTCTTTGATACACTAAAAGAAATGGAAGGCTGGAGCACCTCTCCTATGAAGAAAGGTTGAGGAAACTGGGCTAGCTTAGCTTGGAGAAGAGAAGGCTCCAGGGAGACCTCATTGTGGCTTTCCAGTACTTGAAGGGAGCATATAAACAGGAAGGGGAACAGCTGTTTATGAGGGTGGATTGCGACAGGACAAGGGGGAATGGTCTCAAATTGAGACAGGGGAGATTTAGGTTAGATTTTAGGAGGAAGTTTATCACACAGAGGGTGGTGACACACTGGAACAGGTTGCCTAAGGAGGTTGTGGATGCCCCATCCCTGGAGGTATTCAAGACTAGGCTGGATGTGGCTCTGGGCAGCCTGGTCTGGTGGTTGATGACCCTGCACATAACAGGGGGGGTGAAACTAGGTGATCACTGTGGTCCTTTTCAACCCAGGACATTCTATGACTCTATGATAAACAAGACAAATAGAAAGCTTTAATTTTAAACCAGTATCTTCAGATTTTGTATGAACTTATTTCAAGACAGATCCTAAATTACTCCACTTTGTTTCTGAACACAGAAGATTACTTTCTGGATAGATAGATAGGTTTGGAGTTTTTGTTGTTTTATTGTCTTTTTTTTTTTTTTCCCCTGTGAGACAGTAGGACTACTTAGCTCTGCTTCTAAGATATTTCTCAAGCACTGCAGATGAAATCACTTAACATACAGAACCTGTCTCTTAATGTAATGATTTAGGCAAGTACACGTGAGAGAATACACTAATGTTCATTCGCTGGGACACCATGAATAGACAGCAGAAACATATTAGGAAAAGAAGGAAGAGCGAGAGCACAGAGCATAAGTCCCTGAACATCAGGAGGCAGAGAAATCACTGAGGAAAACAAATACGCACCCCCAGGCCTGAATGCTGTGTCGACTGTGCGCTTAGAAACAGGGAACGCCCAGCTCAAACAAATACATTAATGCACCACTCCTCTTCAGGTTCGAGTTTAGCGATAACACAAGGGAAGGAGGGCGTTTTAGAAAGCTTTGCCTATCTTTTTCCATTCGTAACGAGTTATTAACGCCCGCGTTCGAGCTCGTCAGTCGAACAAAGGTATCGAGGAGCTCAGCGGCTTTTAGCACGGCAATACAATTCCCGCACCGTGGGGCTGCCCGCACCGCCGCCACTTCACCACCATCGCTCAGGGGGCTCTTAGGAACCCGAGGCCGAGGAACGAGGCCAAGCAAACGCTGCTACCCTTCACCTAAATAGCGCTCTGCCCGCGGGATCCGCAAACAACACCCTCAGCTCAACGCTGCCGCTTTTTTTGATTCTCTACGTAGCCGCACGGCGACGAAGCCGAAGCGCTTCGCCTCCCAGCCCGAGGGCCGCGTTGGAGGCACGCTCGGACACACTCATCTCCCCAGGCGCCCAGCCAGCCCGTTGCGACAACACGGCCGGCACAACACAACACGACACAACCGTCTCCAGGTGCGGAGGAGCCTGAAGGCGGCGGGCGAGCCGGGGCCATCGCAGCGAAGGGCAGAGCACCCCCAGGGCGCCTTTCCCCAGCCCGGCCGCGGCTCTTCCCGGCGACGAGGGCACGAACGCCCCGCGCGGACAGGTGCCGCCCCCCCCCCCCCGGCTTCGCTCTCTGAGGCGGCAGCGGCGGCGCCTCCCGGCAGCGCGCGAAGGGGTAAAGATGGCGCCGCGCGCCGGCCCGCCGCCCTCCTTCTCTTCCTCCTCCTCCTCCTTCCCTTCGCCTCCCTCCCCCCGCCGCGCCGGGCCCCACCTTGCCGAAGTGCGCGGCCCAGTGGATGGGCGTCCAGCCGTAAAAGGAGTCCTCGGCGGCCAGGTCGGAGCGAGGCGCGCTCTGGAGCAGCGCGCACAGGGCGGGCAGGTCGCCGTCGCGGCAGGCGCGGTGCAGGGGGAAGCGGAGGGTCAGCAGCTCCTCGCTGGAGAAGCCCGCCTCGGGGCCGGCGCCCAGCGACATGGCGGGCAGGGCGAGGGAAAGCGGCGAGAGGGACGGCAGCGGGGCGAGGGGGAGGGGAAGCGGGAAGGAGGGGGAGAGAAGGAGCGAGCGGGCTGCGAGCGGCGGCGACTGCGGCAGCCGTTACCGCCCGAGCACAAAGGAAGCGGGCGGGGCGGGGCGGCGCCTCCCCGGGCGGGCGGGGCGGCGCGAGGCGGGCGCGAGGCAGGGCACGGCGGGAAGCGCGCGGCGGCCCCCGCGATCCCGACTCCTCCAATCCGCTTCGCGCTCCGCCGGGTTGGGAGGGGGGACGGGGGGACGAGGAGGGGGGAGAGCTGGCTCGCGGTGCGCGCGCGGCCGGACCGTTTTTTCCCGTTGCCCGGGGCGGAGGACCTGTTGCCGCCGCATGAGGGGGCAGCGCGGCGGGGAGAGGGGGAGCGCGTGTTCCCGCTTCTCGCCCGGAAACGCGGCGCTGCCTCCGGCCGTCGGTACGCTTAACTCCGAGCCGGGCTTGGAGCGCAGAGCGTCCGTCTGACGGCCGTCGTGTGGTGTTAGCGACCGTCAGTGCCCCGGCAGGAGGGACACTCGTCAGTGCGAAGGCACACGCGCAAGATTTGTTTGAAGCCTTGCCCCGTCGGCCCCTTTGTTTTTTCGCCAAAATAAAATGATTACTTACAAATCTTAGGATGAGGGAGGGAGGATGGATTACAAATGAGCCCCTCCATAGATGGTGACGCTGAAGCACAAAGAAACCGAGCGCTGTGGCCAAGGGACGGAGCGCTGCCACAGCCCCACAGAATCACAGAATGGCCAGGATCGGAAAGGACCTCAAGGATCATGAATCTCCAACCCCCCTGCCAAAGGCAGGGCCACCAGTTTAATACTAGCCCAGGCTGCCCAGGGCCCCATCCAACCTGACTTTGAACACCTCCAGGGACGGGGCACCCACAACCTCTCTGGACAGCCTGTTCCAGCACCTCACCACTTTTATAGTAAAGAACTTCTCCCTGACATCCAACCTAAATCTTCCCTCCCTCAACTTAAAACCATTTCCCCCCATCCTGCAGTTATCTACCCTTTCAAAGAGTTGATTCCCCTCCCCTCTGTAGGCTCCCTTTAGGTACTGAAAGGCTGCAATGAGGTCACCCCACAGCCTTCTTTTCTCCAGGCTGAACAAGCCCAGCTTCTTCAGTCTGTCTTCGTAGGGGAGGTGCTCCAGTCCCCTGTTCATCCCCAAATGGCTTTGAACATCTCCAGGAATGGGGCCTCCAAGACTGCATCTGGCCTTAGCTGTCACGGTTTATCATCCCATGCACACTTCTTCCTTTGTGAGTTATGTGTATTTTTTCCCCACATCTAACTCCCCTAGGCAGATGCTCACTGTTTGACTTGCTTTGGAATTAAATAATGAAGGTACCATGTGATAGAACAGTTGAAAGAAAGAAAACAAACAAACAAACAAACAAATGCACAAAAACCACACACACACACACAAAAACCCTACCAACAGCTTATGTTATAAAAATGGTAATTACCAGAATGTCTGGTATTAAATGAAACAGCTTCTTCAGCTGAAAACAGGCAAGCTGTTTTTTACTGTGCATATAAGCACTGATGTTTGTAGTCACTCGTGTTGTTTATAATTATCATAAAAATTGATGAATATTAAAAATATGTTTTATTATGATGAACAGAAATTAACCAGTACTTTACTGAGGATTCATATTAAGGATTTGCATAAGTTTTTCATCTCTTGCTGGGATATGGAAACTACCACACCAGGTAGACAGTGGATTTTCTAATTTCCTTATAGAAATTCATTAACTTACTAACTTCCACCACTTCCTGCAAGATAGCTGAGTTCAGTTGTACTCATGTTACAAATGAGGAAGTGAAATACCAAGAAAGGAAGTGGTTTAACTGTATTATGCAGGAATTCTGCTTGTGGAACTGAATCCTAGCATCTTTAGTCACCAGAGCAAGCGGTCATCTGCAGGGACCTTGACAGGCTGGAGAGGGATGACAGAAATGTCATGGAGTTCAATAAGGAGAAGTGCTGAGTCCTGTATCCAGACAGGAGCAGTTCCTGGAACCGGAACATGCTGGAACCACGTAGCTGGAAAGCAGCTCTGCAGAGAAGGAACTGAGGTTGTGGCGGAGACCATGGTGGACACAAGTCAGCACTGTACCCTTGCCACAAAGAAGGCTAAAGTATTCTTGTCTGCAGGAGGTAAAGCAGCGGATTGAGGGAGGTGATCGTTCCCCCTCTTCTCAGTGCTGCTGAGGTTGCATCTGGAGAACTACTGGGACTCCAGTACGAGAGACCTGGGCATACTGGAAACAGTGCAATGGAGGGTCACCAAGATGGTTGGAGATTTGAGTACCTCTCTAGTACTCAAGGAGAGGCTGAGGGCTGAAGCTATTCAGCCTGGAGGAGACTCGGGGATATCATCAGTGCACGTAAATACCTGAAGGGAGGATGCCAAGAGCATGGATCCAGGCTCCTTTCAGGGGTGCCAAGTGCCAGAACAAGCAGCACAAACTGGAACACAGTTTAGTTCAGAGTTCCCTCTGAACAGCATTCAGCACTTCTGTGCTGTGTGGGTGCTGGAGCACTGGCACAGGCTGCCCAGAGGCTGTGGATTCTCCTCCTTGGAGGCCTCCAAAAGCTGCCTGGCTGTGGGCATGGGCACCCTGCTCTGGTGGCCCTGATGATGAGGGGTTGGGCCAAAGGGACACAGAGGGCCCTGCCAGCCTCAGCCTTCCAGTGAGTCTACAGTCTTAAGTTTTGTGACTAGAATTTTTGTTGTGAGGTTAACCTTTTTTATTTCCTTACTGATAATCTGCACCAAATATTCTAAAGTTTCACAGAAATCACGATATTATACTGGTTCCTTAATCAATTTGTAGTCGGCATGTAATTTGGAGAATCGCAGTTGTCTTTCTGTTTTTTGTTTTTTTTCCAGTTGTGATTAGTTGCCCATAAAAATATATAAATATGTCATTTTTAATATTCTGGTTTTCCATTGACTACCTTAACATATCTTGGCAATGGGTTTTGTTGGTTGATTAATTGTAATTGTAATTAAATTCAACTGCAATTAAAAATGTTTTCTTTAACTGCCGTCATATGCTGTGAAACTGGAACATGGGAATTCTGGTTTTAGCATTTTTTTCTACATTTCATTACATTTACATTCTAATTCATTCCATTCTCTATCATTATCCTGGTTAGACTTTATACTGAACAATACAAGTCTTAAATATATTTCTGACAATCTTTGTGTGTAAAAGTTTAGGTACAGAGCTTATAAGTCTGTTATGTAGTTCTAACTTCCTTCTAGACAATAGGTTTTGTTTCCCTAATATAGCTGCCTTTATGGTCTGTGTGTATATATGGTAATCCAGGAAACTGACCATCAAGGTTTCAACTGTAACTTACACCCTCTTAAGAAAAGAAAGCAGTAATATATAACAACATGTCAGGTTCTGGTTTATATGAAGACAGATTTCTGAATTTAGCATGCATTTTATAAGATAAAATTCTTTAACAAAGTAGAATAAATAGTATGCGTACTGTATTACTTACACAACAAAATATATTCCTAATTTCTTATGACTCAGAAGAGTTCAGCCACTAAGTTTAGTTGCCCACTTATATGTGTGTTTGGAAAAAATATTGTTATTTGCAGGCCTATTTGCATTAATTTTGTCCTCTTTCTATTCCTGGTCTTTTAAGGGAAGTGAGAAGCTTTCTGTCTCTGTCAGTTCAAGGAGGTGGGCCTTCTGCTTACTCAGGAGTTTAACAGAACAGCATTTCCCCCAAGGAAGTAACAAAAAAGATGCAGTTTTATTTTAGCTGGTTTTACTTTTATGTTCTCTTTTGCCTCAAGGTTGTGAAATAAAATGGCCTGTAAATGAGGACTTCTTGAATATTAAATAGAGTCTAATAAGTGTACATTTAGATACCGAATACATTATTTTAAGTATTTTGTGAAAATGTATCTCCTGAGCTCTGGTAAGGCTGCATGTTGAGTACTGTGTTCAGTTTTGGGCCCCTCTCTACAAGAAAGACATTGAGGCCTTGGAACATGTTCAGAGAAGGGCAATGAAGCTGTGAGGGGTCTGGAGCCCAAGTCTTACAGGAAGCAGCTGAGGGAACTGGGATTGTTCAGCCTGGAGAAGAGGAGGCTCAGGGAAGACCTCATTGTCCTCTACAACTACCTGAAAGGAGGTTGTGGGAAGGTGGGAATCAGCCTCTTCCCCTGGGCAACAGGACGAGAGGGAATGTCCTCAAGTTGCACTAGGATTCAGGTTTGATATTACAAAAAGCTTCTTATTTGGGTGAGCAGCCAGGCAATGGAACGGGACACCCAGGGACGTGGTTGAGTCACTGTCCCTGAACGTGTACAAGAAACGTTTAAATGTGGTACTAAGAAACATGGTTTAGTGGGCAACATTTGTGGTAGGTGGATGGTTGGGCTAGATAATCTTAGAGGTCTTTTCCAGCCTTAATGACTCTATGATTTACACAACTCTGTAATGTACTCTGCATTTTCTATGCGCCATTCTTGTACAAATTAATTACATTTGCTAATTTTTCTTTGCAGGAAGGTTGAAGATGAAGGACTTTATGATAACTCACAGAATGGTCTTGGGTATTTTTGTAAAAAAACAAAACAAAACCACCACCACTCCAACTTTGGAATTTAATTGAATACATACTTTGTTCAAATCCTTCCTTCTTTCTTATGGAGAGCTTGCACTGATTAACATTTAGAGTTTTATTTAGTTGCCATACATACTTGTCTAGTGCCATTTGAGACGCCCAAGAGTATTCTTGCCTGTTGCCAACTGCTGCAGGAAAATTGTACAGGTTTACATAGGTTCCCTGCCACTGTACAGAGCTAACGTATCTCTGAATAACAGCCTTGTTAGGTTGCATTAAGAATCTAGATTCTGACAAATAGATCCTTCCTGAATATCATTTGCACTGATTGACTTGGTCACACAGGGGCTTCTTCACATTTTATCTGGAACCGATTCCCTTAAAACAACCTGTATTTGTAGGAGGTTGTCACATAATTCCATGCTGTCCAAGTGCAAAAGGACAAACTAATTCTGACATTATTCATCATTCATTTTATTTTGGAAATCTGTGAACTGTGATGAAAATGTAGCATCTCTTTAGAT